TCTGTAATTGTCAAAACTGAAGTGTAGAACTCTGTTGTTTAAGTGCCCCCATTCCCCCCCCCCCCCAAGGCTTGTTCTCACTGAGTCACCCAGACTGGCCGGAAATGCCATCCTCCTGCCTCAGTGTCCCACGTGCTGGAATTACAGCTGTGTGCACCACTGTGCTTACTGAAACCTTGTATTTAATTAAATGCCTGAGAAAGTAATTGGGTATGTGACTGAGTGTATGTTCTTTTTTTTTTTAAAGACTAGTCAAGTGCAGTAGTGAGAATTGGCGGGGGGGAGAGTAGAACAAGGAGTTCAATCTGTACTGACTGTGAACAGTCAATTGAGATAACTCACTACCTTCGGACCAGCCTGAGTGTGTGTTCTTTAGAGGCAAGAGTTGTTCATTGGTACTGGCAACTTGGAGAAACTCATCTTGGGAATTTCTTTTTCAAATAAGGAGAGTGTATTATGTCTTACTTAATTTTAATTGAATTGTTACTTGTTACCTAGAATTTTTCTGTTCTGGATCCCTTTTCACCTTTTGCTGTGGCCCCATGTTTTGTTATTACTGTGTCTTTGGGGAACAAACCAAGCTGTCTATTTGTCAGAATCTCCCTGCCCTATCTTCGAGCGTGCCCAGAACGTCCTGGAGATGAAGGGCCACTGCAGACCGCAGGCCTGCTTGGGGTGAGAGTCTTCCCTCCAGGCCTGTGCTCTCCTGCCCAGGGCTGCACTCTGAATTTACTCGTTGTTCACATTCCTTCATTAAGCCCTGTGCTGGGAGAACGAGCATATAGCCAGTGTACAGACCGACTGCAGTTGCATATTAGCCAGGTAGATGCCTGCCTGCACAGGGACCCTTTCTTTAGACATTTGCTTGTGTGGTTGGATTGGATCCGGCGGAAAGAATTTTACAGCTTGGAAAACTGCTCTCAGTACCACAAGTGGAAACAGTTTTATTTCTGCATGAGTTTACAGTTCTGCTGACCTCATATTTCAGTGTCACCTTGCCGCTTCCTCAGTGATTCTCTGGCACATTGTGAGGCATACTCCACACAGGTTGCTTTTTATGAGAAATGCCTTGTTTCTATCCAAGTGTTAGAGTGACATTTCCTTTTCCAGAACAAAAGCCATTACATTTTCTTTCGCAGACATGTTCATATGAAAGATAACAGGAAAAGAAAATTGATTTCCCTTTGAAAGCAGTCCACCAGCTGTATGTAGCCTGCTGCCGTGGCTTCCTTTGCGAGCTGGCTGCAGCTGCTTCTCTAAGGAGGCAGTGCTTACAGAGAGAGCTGCTTACTTAGGTCCTCCACACCTGGATCAGGCCTGTTGTTCCTAAAGGAGCACAGTGGTTGCAGAACTGGTAAAGGCAGAGGTACTTGAGGTGCTTTGGTTTCTTAGGTTTGCAGAGATAGTATTTGAGAGCAGGTGTGTTTGGAAATGGCTATTCCTCAGGTACTGTCTTCATCTCAGGAGCCTTCACCAGCACAGTGTTTGCTTAGCCTACTATACTGAACAAACCTGACTTTGCTTTCTTTTTTTTTTTTTTTTTTTCTTTTAAGGTTTTTTGGTTTTTGGTGCCGGGATCGAATTTACAACTTTGCACTAATCAGGCAAGCACCTGAGCTGCTGAGCTAAATCTCCAGCCCCTGACAAACCTGACTGTTAAAGGATATGTAATAAAGTAGGCAGCCTGTGCTTTAAAAAACAAAAGTGTGGGATTTGGGGGCCAGAAATGTAGCTCTGAGGTAGAGCACTAGTGCTCTGGTGCTTAGTGTGTGCGGCCCCGGCTTCACTTGCACCTGGGGAGAGGGGTTGGGCAGTATGAACTCTGGAGTCAGACATGGCTGGGTTTATAGTCTGGGTCTGCCGCATTAACTGTGTGATTTTGGTTCCCTTGCTCACCTTCCCTGTGTTTATTTTGGCATTGGTAAAATATATATAATAATAAGACCCAGTAAATAGGGTTAGAGTAAGGCGATCATATTTCCTGGTTTGGTTTTCTGTGTTGTTTCCTACATAATTACTCATTTGTGTCTCAGTTTGAATGATAAATTATGCTGTCACCCTTGTTATAATGAAGATTAAGCAAGATAATGTGTAAAATGCTTAGTGCATATTAAGTGCCCACTGAATGTTAGCTGCTTTATTGTTTTAGGAGCGCTCATTATCTGTACTGCTGCCTCTACTTAAACTTATATCCTGTCCTGTCCCCCTGTCAGGGGCAGCTACGTACCCTAAGTCGAGTTCCTCCCACCTGCCATGTCTTTCTCCTTCACTTTGCGTCTTCTTATGCTGTTCATGGTTTATGAGCCAGCTGTATTACCACTTCAGGTGCTTATGAAATATTTGTCCCAAATAAGTTTCCTCCTAACGCTGTCTTTATTAGTATAGCTTACGTGTGAGAGGGACAGAAAGAAGCAGTAATTTATCTCTCATCTGTATGTGCCAGGTAGTGAATTAGGATCTGGAATACAAGAGAGCAAGAGCAGGCATGGGTCAGTTCCTCATGGGACTTTTAGCCTGAAGGTAGCGATAAAATTAAGTCACAAATGAATGTAAAATTACAGATGCGGAAAGGGCCATGATGGGGCTCTGCCTAGAGTTTGGACAGGAAAGGCTGCATGATGAAGTGGGTGTGGAGATGTGAATGGAAGAAGATCAGAAGACCCCTGGGCTGCAAGAGAAGCCCTGGCAGCCTGAAGGGAGCTTTCAAGGAGACTAGGGGTGCTCAGAAGTCACATGCAGGAGGTCAGAGAAAAGACAGAGGCCTTTGGTGCATGATGGGGCATTGGGTTTTTATCCAGGGGGAAGTCACTGGACTTTTGAAGGTAGGGATCGCCATGATGTCATTATGGCATTGAACAGGGAGTGAACAGCGCAAACTCAGTGGAACTCTTTCAGTCCCAGACGAGGTTTAGAGGAGGTTTTCAGCCTGAGATCCTCCCTTTCCAGTCTCTCATTGGTTGAAAAGGGATGTCCAAGAGGAATGTGTTAGCAGCTGTGTTAGTGGATAGCCTTCTTTCTTGTGTGTGCTGTAAATTTAAGCTGGGTGGAAAAAGTAGTTTGTAATTTTACTTGCTAATTCCAGTGGCCTACAGGTATTTAGGAGTTTACTGTCTGTTTAGCAATGATTCATCTGTGCAAAAGTTTTGTAGGTACTAGAATAGTTTTTGCTTTCCTTGAAATATGCTCAGAAAATTGAAATCTGATCTGAAAACATATTTACTACGTTTAAGGAATTTCTAGGTTTTTACTGTATGCTTTCAGCCTTCTGGCCTTGCTTATTAATGATGACTGCTCCTTCCTTTGTATCTTCCAAAGGCTGTGGCTGATATCTTTTATTTTTCCTGAAATCCTAAGGATAATTGGCATTATTATTGGCATGCATGCAAACTCCCGCCTCCCCCCCAATCAGGTTTGATCTCTGAGTCTTGGAGAGAGTCTGATAATTTTACGGGCTTGGCATGACGAAAGAGAATTTTCTCTGCAGCTGAGGCATATAATTGCAAGTGATATATCTGTTGTTGTGTAAGTAAACAGGAACAATCTTTTGTTTGCATGTGTTGTTCCTATCTGGCCCCCTTAGCAGAAGAAACAGATGGTTCTAATATTGATCACTGGCTTCCTTTTGTTGCATTTGAGCATCCAGGGAAAGGATTATGAGTTCTTCTTTCATTGTATTTTTAGTTCTGAGCACCTGGTACCCAGACAGTATTTAGTAAAGATTTTCAACAAATGAGGTATTGGAAAAGATAAAAGATCAGACAAGATACATTATTGCTATTAGAAATTCCAAAATGATTTGTAAGCAAATGTGTTTTTCCCCTAGCTGTAAAGTTTTTATGAGAATTAGGTTGGGAGTTTAGAACTCAATCCTCTCATTTTGTACTGTTTTTTTCTTAAGTTTTATTTTTGGGGGGTGGGGAGGGTAGTGAGGCTCGAACTCATGACCTCAAGCTTGCTAGGCAGGCATAAGCCAGGCAGGCGCTTGTGCCACTGAGCTAATTCCTCTCATTGTGTACTGTTAACAACTTTAGATGTTTTTGTTGGATTTAGTTCTTGAGGAGTTCATTAGAGCAATTGTTAATGGTGGAAATTTGGAAGAATGTAAAAACCACCTAATATTCCTCAAGGCCCAGAGGCTGTTTTTGGAAGTTGTTAGTTTTGTTAAGGCAGAAATGATAAATGTTAATAGAGAAACCATTTTTCCTAGAATTGAACTAGAATAGGAGACTAAGAAGATGTGTATGATGTAAGTGAGGGTAATTGACAAACTTTTGCTTTGAAGCTGTCGCTTTCATTGGTGTCAAGCATATTTATTTTGAAAGGAGCTCTGGAAATTTGGAGAAGTAGGGAGAGTCTTCAAAAGATAGCCCACTGTATGACAGCCTGAGATGTTTGCCTCAGTTCTTCATGTCAGCATTTTTCCTGTCGGAAATAATTTTACTATAGGTTCTTCCCTCTTTTAAATTTATATTGTGGGTTATAAAGTTTCTTTTTATAATTACGTTACATTAATAATGTAATATAATGACAATATGTTGTCCACTAGGGTGCACTTAATTTTTTATATGAAAAGGGGGGAATACAGGAGTACAGCTTACTCTAATGCCTACAGACATTTGGGGTGAGTGAGTGTGTTTTGAGACAGGATCTTGGTTTGCATTTTAGACTGGCCTTGAACTCACCCTGTAGCATAGCTCACGCTCGAACTTGAGCCACCCTCCTGCCTCAGCCTTCCAAGTACTGGGGTTACAAGTGTCTGCCAACACACATGGCCAGATGATTTTTAATATAGACCTTCTAAAAAGGCTCCAGTCATTTACTAGCTGAGGCCAAAAAGTATATATTGAAGTTGTGTATAATTTTAACTATGATCTGAGACAGTTTTAGATAAATCTAAAGCATGAGTAAGAGATTTACAGCATTTTATGAAGAAAATAAGAGGAAATGTTAAAGTGAGTTAAAGTGAAACAATTTCTTTCTCTCTCTTGTTTCTCCTTTAGCATTTTTGAAACGTTGGGGTTACTGGAGTGGTTGGATTTTCCCTGGAATTGAGTGAGAAATTCAGAAGACTGAAGCCCAGGCTTACAGTCTACCTTTCACGGAGGCCCAGCCGTGAGAGGACAGAAGAAGGCACGTGGCGAATCATGACAGCTGACAAAGACAAAGATAAAGACAAAGAGAAGGACCGGGACCGAGACCGGGACCGAGAAAGAGAGAAAAGAGACAAAGCAAGAGAAAGTGAGAATTCAAGGCCTCGCAGGAGCTGCACCTTGGAAGGAGGAGCCAAAAATTATGCGGAGAGTGATCACAGTGAAGATGAGGACAATGACAACAACAGTGCCACCACAGAGGAGTCCACCAAGAAGAACAAGAAGAAACCACCCAAGAAAAAGTCTCGTTACGAACGGACGGACACTGGTGAGATAACCTCGTACATCACGGAAGACGACGTCGTCTACAGACCAGGAGGTAAGGAGAGGCGCTCGCCTTCACAGAGGGGGGACCGGGGTGGTCTCGGCGTTCTGATGGAGGCAGTGTCTCTTCACACGTCCAGGCAGGCTCGGACCCGAAGAGCCCGCGCCTGCGGGTAGATAGGAGAGCCTAGCCAGCGTGCCTGCGCCGGGGTCTGGGAGGTGCAGGTGCTCTTGCTCCTGTCTCTCTTGACGGTCTTCTCGTGGCACTTGTCCCTTGTCTTCCTCACCTGCGTGGTGTTTATCATTTTTAGATTCACTCTTGCATTCCACCCTCACCACCCTAAACGGTGCTCTGCAGAATGGAATGCATTCCTACTGGAGACGAGTGAACCTCAAGATTCTTGGAAACAGAAATTTTATGTTGGAATTGGCCAGAAACTAGATAGAGACTTTTAATGGCCTTCAGGACAAGGTTTATCTCTTCCATTGGCCTCCTTTTTGAAAGTATTGAACTTTAGCCCCATTAATCAATGATAATAGATGAAGCAACTAACCTGGAAGCTCTCCAGAAAACATACTTTGGCTATGTGTTGTGTGCAAGTTTACAGCTATACTCAAAGAGACAGACCCAGCTTTTTGATGAAATAATTGGAAAGAGCTGATTCAGAACCTGTCCAAGCCCTGCTTAGTCTTCTTTCACTGGAAATACTTTGTGTCTTAAGATGCTTTTCTTACAGAACCAGAAAGACTAGTGAAGGTCATTTTGTGTGAATGATTTACTCTGCAGAGGGGTGACAGTAATTTCATAGGAGATATAATTAACAGATTAAAGACATGCATTTGATGTTTTTCCAAGAAATGGATTAAAGAACTCTGTTATGTCACTAATTAGCTACAGTTGTTTTATTAAAGAGTGCTTTTGTGTTTTTAACTTTTTGAAGAGTACTCTTAACTGTTTTGAACTTCATGTAAAATTGTAATTTTTTTCAGTGTGCTTGTATGTATTTTGATCTCCCAAAGATGATCAGTGTTAGAACTTACACAAACCAACCTGTATTCCTGACAGTTTCTTGGTTCAGTATTAACAAAGAAGATACATGTGTGATGTAAAATTGTCAAAGCATTGAGGATGCTTTGTCTCGTATCCCTCTCATGTCAGCTACTGCACTGCCAGTGTTTGTGTCTGGTTCAGCTACTGGACAGGGAGAATGTCACACACACCCAGAGCTGAATGATGCACTGTTTGCTTCCGACTCATCAGAAAGAAACAGAATGTGTTTCAACTCATTTAGTTTTTAATTAAAAATAAGAGCAGATCTGTTTGTTAGCCCTTTCTCTTGATAATTAACCATTTAATATGGGAGTGTGGTCTCTGGGATCATCGGTCGAAGGGCAGCTGCCATGGGCAGTACTGGACACCAGCTCTCCCAGTTTCTGTAGCATGGGTTGTCCTTCCTGTGCTGCACTGGCGAGTAGTATGCTTTGGGAAATGCTGCCTGAACTGTCCCCCGGAGAGGTGATAGTGACAGTGAGAAGCTCTGCGGTTAAGGAACCTGTTTAACCTCAAAACTCCTGCTTCTTTACCGATTGGGGGACTGCGGCATCCTGTTTCTGCTGAGTGTCTTCCTTAGGAAAACTGGTTTGGAGAACATCTATGGGAAATATTACACTTTCATCCTGCATCTTTAATGCAGTGACAGGAAATCAAGTCCTCCTTCCTTGTTGAAGAAATTTTCTTGATCTTCTGAAGAGTGTATGGAAGGAGACTGACATGGGCGCGTTGGTTGCTGCTCTTGTGTTTTGGGGAGTGCTGTGTAGTCTTCTGTGGTGTCCAGAGGGCTTGGTGCCAGGGCAGTCTGCAGGTGCGCCAGCCCCCTCTGTAAAACAGGTTACCACATAACCAGTGAACATGACTTTCGGTCATCTCTACATGGCGTAAATTACCTAACACAACGTAAATGCTGTGCAGATAGTTGTTGAACTGTATTGTTTGGGGAATAACTGCAAGGGAAACGGGAGTACATGCAGTGTGGGTGCAGGGCTTCCCCTGCAGATAGTTCCAGTGTGGGGTTGGTTGGGCCCCTGGGTGTGGACTCCACTGGTACAGGAGGCTGACTGTATTTGTGGAGCCATGTGTTGTTTTACTGAATCTGAAGACTTTTGAGATGTGGAAAAGATGGGCACTGTCTCGAAGTTTAGTGTGTTGGAGCGGCTCAGAATGGTTTAAGGGTTACTGTGCCACCCAGAGTCGAAGCACTTCATGTGAAGTGCTTGGTTAGGGTCAGTACTCTGCCCTGCCTGTTTCAGGGGACATTTGGCTATTCTGTAAGCAGCTTGTTTTGGGCTTATTCTGTGGTTTCTGTTGGAGGGATGTGTTTACAGATAAGTAACCTAGCTGCCTTCCAAGTGTAGGACGTTTACAGTGAAGAGTCAGAAGGAGCGTAGTACTGTATTATAGAGGGGTAGGCATGGGGACACACTGACCGGGGTTGACAGCGCAGGGGGCAAGGTCTTGGCCCCAGTGACCCACCTTCTCCACAGGCCCCACTTTCTGGAGCATGCACTTCAATGGATTAACCATTGATGAGGTAGGACCCCAAGAACCAGTCACTTTCCAAAAGCCCCGCCTCTGAACACATGAACTGGGGGGACATTTTAGACCTAAACATAAAAGATTCTCAGAGGGAAGTTCGTTTTTCCCCTTTGTTTTCCTTCCTGGTCTTTTTCTGCCATGTAATGTAAATTATCCCAGTAACACCCTGGGTTAGTGATGGGAATGTGGTCCTCATGCTGTGTGTTCAGCTGTTTCTTCAGTCCTTAGGACTCCAGAGAATGCCAGGAACAGAGCCCCGAAGGGCTTACTAGGTTTTGAATTGTAGCTTTTAGTACTCGTGGTTTTTTATGATATGAAAAAGATTGAGAAAATTAATTTATGAATGTTACTTGGTTTTCTGAATAGGTAGTAATACTCAGATGTATAAATTTGGCTCTCTTCCAAAATGTTAAAAATGAGCCCAGACTGATTGGGGATAGAAATAAGCTATGACACAACTACTTTTCCATGGGGCCTAGGCTCATGCTCAGGTTGTTTGTTCTGAAAAGCATGAGATTTTATTGAGAAATTAGGCATTTAGAATCTGTAAGATTTTAGTTCCTGCATTGTCACAGCTGGCAGTGTTGTTGCCTTGGCTGCTCACCACTGTAGTTGCCTTTAGGTCTCAGCATCATCTGCTTTGTCCCTTGCATTGCCTTGTGGCCTTGGCACTTGCTGTCGCCCAGCCTCACAGCCACACCCCTTTTACTAAGTGCCTGTCCTTGTCTCTCCTACTGCAGTAGCTCTGCACCCCCTGGCCTGCCTCCCTCATTTCCGCAACAGAGTCTGTCATGGCATTATGCACCTTGACTTCAGCACTTAAAGCAACAATTATTTTTCATTTATTCCCGTTAGTGTTGGATTAAACCCATCTTCTGTTTCCCAAAAGGAAGTGACTCTGTTTTTGTGTGTTGTAGAATTTGAAGCATCTATGACAATAGTATATGCATATGTATATAGTGAAATATTTGTGGAATAACCAAACATACTTTTAAGATTTTTATTTAGTCATTACTGATGTTAAAGTTATAATAGTTCTCTTGAAATCTACCTTGGGCCATTTATTTCCCAGTGAATGATTTAACAGACTCTTTAAAAAAATAAGAAAGCAAAGCCCTTTTGGGATTCTATTGTATATCGCCCCTGTGTCTAATCTAACTTCTTTGTTGTCTGTCAGCCATAATTCTGCCTTTGAATGACAGTCATGGTAGCAAATTGATTTATTACACAGCTGTATGCAGCCAGATTTCCCTCTTGGACTTTTTTAGCATGGACATTGATTTCTAGAGTATACTGTAGGTGGCATATTAATTTCTTTCTACTATTTTCAATTAGGGAGTTTAATCTTTTATTCTTGATCTAGATAGAACTGGCCCAAAAATTCCGGTTGGGAGATATTTTTAAATTTGACATAGGAATGTTGCTTTCTTTTTGGAGACGGAAACATGTTTTCAACAAGAGTTTAGTAAGCTGGTTCTTCCCTTTTTGTACTTTGTCATATATATATATATATATATATATATATATATCCCCAGTTAGTCAAGCACTGGTGTGGAGGGAGACAATGTTAATCATTTTAACAATAACCCACAACCTTCGGACCAACTATGTACTTTGTCGTATTAACTGACAATTTTTTTGACTCTCCTACTACTATAAGTAACAAGAATATAGAATAACTGAAATGTTTATCACTTAAAAGTCAAGATACTTAAGTTGGTATATATGAAATACTTTTTCATTTATCATCTGAGAAATGCAAGTTAAAATGACTGAGACCCTCCTCACCCCAGAAAGAATGACTATTATTAAGAAATCAGTAACAAATGCTGGTGGGGCTGGAGGGAAAAAAGAACCCTTCTCCATTTTGGTGGAAGTATAGATTGGTTCAATCATTGTGGAGATTTCTCAGAAAAGTAGAGGTTCCATTCTCTTCTTGGTATTTTCTTGAAAGAATAAAAGCATACCACTGCAATGTATGCACACCCATGTGTATAGCAGCACAGTTTGTAATAGCCAAATCTTGGAAACAGCCCAAATGCCCACCACCAGATGAATGGATAAAAAAGGTGCGCTTTCTTATACAGTGGAGCACTGCTGTGATGTGAGGGAGGATGAGCGTGAGACCCTGCTAGCCAAATGGGTGCACCTTGAGACCGTGCAGTGAAAAACCTTGGACGCGTGTGTGAACACAACATTGTTCTTTGGCATGAGAAACCATGAGTAAATGAAGTCCAAATGTGTAATAGGTATCATGAAATAGGCAGACAATGTTCCGTGGGAAGGGGAAGTAGGAAGAGAGGAAGGGGAAAGGATGAAAGGGAAAGAAATAATGAGAAAGTAAGGAAAAATGGAAACAGTGTTTGTAAATAAGGAGTGGAAGAGAGATTAAGGGAGGTAGGGGGAAGGGGAAAGAAAAGAGATTCAGTTATAATCAGATACAAATTCCCTACAAATGTGAT